TCAAACTAGGCTTCTTGCCCATCCAAAACTCATATGAGGTTTTGTCAGTGGCCTTAGTTGGAACTCTGTTGAGTATATAAGCTGCGGTCTTTAATGCTTCACCCCAGAGAGATTCTGGTAAGGTAGAATGACTAATCATACTCCTCACCATGTCCTTAAGCGTTCTATTTCGTCTCTCAACAACACCATTCATAGTAGGCGAACCCGACATAGTGTACCGTGGGACGATACTGCATTCCTCTAGGAATTTAGCAAATGGTCCTGGACGTTGTTCACCTGAACCATCATATCTGCCATAGTATTCACCCCCACGGTCAGATCTGACGCTTTTAATCCTTTTGCCGAGTTGGTTATCAACTTCAACTTTATAGTTTTTGAACATATCCAGTGACTGTGATTTTTCATGAATGAGATATACGTAGCCGTATCTTGAAAAATCGTTTATGAACGTTACAAAATATTGTCGACCATTCCAAGAACCCATAGGGAATGGTCAACAAATATCCGTATTTATAAGTTCTAAGACGTTTGAAATCCTATTGGCTTGAAATCTTCTTTTATTGGTTTATTTTCCTTTTATACAATTGACACACAAATCATAATCTGTGAAGTCGAGGGGTCGAGAATCTCTTCAGACACAAGTCTCTCAATTCTCCTTTTGGAGATATGACCTAATCTCTTGTGCCACAACGAGGCAGAATTCTCATTGGTTAATTTTCACTTTACACCTCGAGTACTCACATGCAAGGTTTCATTATAAGAAGTAATTGTATCAATTGAATAAAGATTATCGTAACCTGATAAAAAACCGGAACCGACTAATTTTGAATCATGAAACAAATTAAATTTTCCACTTCCAAATGAACAAGTATAACCAAATTTGTCCAAAACGGAAATAGAAATCAAATTCTGTCTAAAAGACGGTACAATAAATGTCTCTACAAGATCCAAATAAAATCCAATTTTTAACAATAATCTAAATTTTCCTATTGACTCTACTTCCATTCTTTTGCCGTTGTCAGCATAGATGTATCTTTCACCATCACTTGGTTTTCGACAACTCAGGCAACCCTGCCTAGACATACTGATGTGAGTTGTTGCACCAGAATCTATCCACCATGTATGTCTAGGTATCGAAGTTAAATTAACTCAGAACAAACCAAATGAAGAAGAATACCTTTCTTTACACGCCATACTTGGTAATTGGTGCAATTCTTCTTCTTATGACCTGTAACTCCATAGATTTCTTTTGCGATGCCGTACCCGCAGCTTCCTTATTAATCTTCCTTTTCTTGTTCCTTTTGTCCTTAGAGGTGGTGGTCAAATGAGCACTTTCTGTCTTCTCATGTTTCAGTCTTTCTTCTTCCTGGACACAGTGTGAGATGAGCTCATTAAGGGACCATAAGTCCTTTTGACAGTTGTAACGCACCTTGAATTGACTGAAATGTGCCGGAAGAGATATCAGAACCAAGTGCACTAACAATTCTTTAAATAAATCCAACTTGAGTGTCTTTAGTTTTGAAGCAATGTGAGACATTTCCATAATGTACTCTCGAATGTTTCCTTTCCCTTTATACCTTATTGAGATAAGGTTTGCCAAAAGTGTACTTATTTCAACCTTTTCATTCTTGGCAAATCTCTTCTCAAGGTCCTCAAGGAAACCCTTAGCCGTAGTCACCTTATCGGACATGGTGCCCCGGAATGCTTCTGGAATAGCACGCTTCATGACCATTAAGCTTATGCGGTTCGATCGTTCCCACTTTTCCATCTCCCTCTTGTCATCAGAGGTACTCTTATCAGTAAGTGCAGCAGGTTGATCGACCTGTAAAGCAAGGTCCAGGTCCATTACTCCGAGAACAATCATCACATTCTTTTGCCATGCCCAGAAGTTTGTGCCATTTAGTATTGGAATTGAATTGATGCTAGTAGAGATATTAGCAGCAGAACCTGAAACTGAATTAGAGAACGTTTATTATGAATTGCTCACATGAATATCTTTAATATGCAAATAATAATAATCTCAAATAGTGGTAGGGCCCATCACAAGGTACCAAGTACAACATCAATATCTAGTATTTGGACATAGATATTGACTTGTAAGCAGTACTCTTGACGTAGTGATCAAATATTGACGATAAAACAACGTGTCAATCAATAAACCTTTCTTTGGACCGATTTATTAATCACACATTAAACCAAATAATCGTCACACGTTTATCACCACAAGTGCACGTATATTCGACTAAATATTGACATTCCTTTGGGCCGACCAATATTCCCATGAATAATATATGCACAAACATTTTTTAATATTTTAAGTTAGTCAATTTTTACTGGAGAGGTTGCTTTGGCAACATGTTGCTTTAATTAACCACCTTTCGAATATTATATCTCTTAAAAGAGTCCTTAGTACCAAAATTTGAGAAAGAGAATCACCAATTTTGCATATTTTGATTAGTTTTAAACTTTAGGGGCCTTAGAATTAATAATTCAAAACTTTAAGGGGGCAAAATTAATTAATTCCAAACTTTAGGGGTTGCAATTAATAAACCTGAACCTTTAGGGACCATAATTAATTAATTCAATACTTTAGAGTATCAATTAGAACAAATTTTAAAACTTTAGGGGCCAAAATTGACCAATTCAAAACTTTAGGGATGAAATTTTAAAAATTTGAAACTTTAGGGGTCAATTTGAATTAATTATGAACTTAGGGGGCCAATTTGAATTAATAATTAAATTTTGAGGGTTTTAATTACAAAATTCAAAACTTTAATTGCCCGAATTAGTTAATTTTAAACCTTAGGGACTGAATTATTAAATCCAAAACTTAAAGGCCCAAATCTTAATATAACTTAAAGGTAGGGACTGAAACCTTAATTTTATAACCCTAACCTTAATTGCAATAAAGGACCTCAAATCATCTAATTTACAAAAGAACCCCTCGCCCCCAAAGTCCAGAAAACTGAAAAACCTAAACAAATTTTCTTTCTTCTCCGGCTGGTACTGCCTGCACAATGGCGCCGACGTAGCAGCAGCGCCAGGCGCTTCACTGTTTGGCAGCAGCGCGAGCTGCTGCTGTTTTGCAGCAGCTGTGTTGCTGCAAGAGGCCAGCGGCAGTGCTGCTGCTATTTTGCAGCAGCCGTGCTGCTGCGAGAGGTCGGCGGCACTGCCTCCGGCAGCCTTCATATATATATAATTTTTTTTATCAAACTGTACAGAAATTTGAATTTCCAAAATCCTAAATCCAAAACCATAACCATAACCTGAATTCTTTTCATCTATTAATCCGAATAATGAAAGATAATAAAAAATATACCGAATGGTTTTCAAATTCAACAAAACTAAATTCAAAGCTTTCAAATCTGAAAACTTTATAAAATATTGTAAGAACCAAACTAAATTTTTTGATTCTCAATGATTCAACATGAAAAGACTCTGATATTACTTGTAAGATAATTTAATACTTTAAATAACCGGATCTTTCATGTTAAATCATCAAGAAATAGAGGAATTAAAGCGGAAGTGTACCTGAATCAGACATGGTTAATGCAATAATGAATTTCACGGTATAGTCTTTCAAATCTACACGCAGTCTCCTTTTTCTCTCTATGATGGGATGTAGTAGAGAATGAACAATACGTGCGTGTGATTTGGGGACCATAACCTATTTATATAGGGATGCCCTTTGACCTAATTCGGCTCATCATAGAATTAGGACTTGGACCTGGTCTCTACACATATATAAACTCACACTTTAATTGGATACATTAAAACCCAAAATCGAAACCTTATTAGATCACTTTAATTGAGCTCAACCGAATTCGATAGCCTGTAATTTAACACAATTATTCACACATATAAGCCTATCTATTGATTAAAAAATCCTTACAGAGCAAACCATCCGTTACTCTGTTATCTATTTCGCCGGTCTAGTAGAGAGGTCTTGACTCACCGAAGTTTAGATTGAGGCCTCAATTGAGTAGCATCTGGAAAGAAGCCATTTTTCCAGGTGCATGGATGATCTGGACAGCAAGGAATAATGCCATTTTCAAACGTCTGATCACTCCCATTCAAACAAGCCTGGTGTTGGTTAATAGGGCTATAAGACCATCTCCAATCGTACAGCAAATTTGGTATAAAAACCACTCCAATAGCATACCGGGTTTGGTGTAAAATTTGTTGAATGAACAGTGTTATTCATTTAAACCAAATTTGGTGTAATTCATTATTCTTCATTTTGCCTATCTATATTCCTTTTGACATAAAATTTGACATTTAGAGCATCTCTAATGGTTACACCAAATTCTGTACAACCATCGGAGAGGTTACACCAAATTGCACCAAGCTACACCAAATTTAGTGCGACCATTGGAATTTTTTTTTTTTTAACACGGGCACCATGAAGAACTTGGTGGCCGATATGCTAGTCTCTTGAGAAAATTCGATATTATGGAGAGATCAGGACCAACTCCCAAATTTTTATGATTTTATTAGTTCAGTGGTGGCCACTGGCCACTACTGAAACAGGTGAAAGTAATCACTGACAAGTCAGCTAAACGAAATCTGAGACTAACTGGGTGTAATTGTGTTTACAGAGATTGTAAAGGATTTTTTAAAGGCTGCTTTGCCGTTCCTCTGGGTTTTTTGGGCTTTCAAGGCAGAGTTGTGGGCGCAGTGCAACATGCTTGGTGGAAGTGATGGTGCAATTTAGTTTTGGGCTTTCCTATAGATTGGACGATCTCTGTGCTTTAGGCACTATACTGAGGAAAGGGACTCTCAAATTTGGGACCACACATATGGAAGAGGCAGTGGGAACTAGGACCTCGGAACATGAGACTAGGCCCCCTATTTTGTACAAATTAAAATCTTTAAATCAAAGTCAACAACTAACTTTAACCACGCATTTTATTAGAATTCACAACTTTTTAACCATATTTTTTATCAACTTTTATCAAAATCTATTAAAAACTTGATTTTAAACCCCACCAAACAATGACTAGAATAGAAATCAGATGAAATTCAGATATCACGGATCATAGTGCAACTAATTTTAGACATTTCATACAATGTTTGTTCTATCAGGTAGCCGGGAAGCCCCGGTAACACTTGACCACTCCCAATCATAAAACCTTTTGAATCTCACCGTTGTTGGTGAAGATAACTACGACAGCCAAAATTATATAGCCATTGTGACATTACATAGCCATTTATTTTATGCATTCAATGCCACACTCCATATAAGGGACTTGTGCTAATGCACGTTTGGTGCAAAACAATACAGTACTCAATCAAACAACGAAAAATTCTAAACTCTTGTATATACAGAGCTTAGAAGAAGGAACGCTTAGCAGGAGGTCGACCTACGGCCCTCATCAAGTTGGCAATTTCAAGAATCCTAGCCACTTTTGTACCTCTTTTGGCCTCAGCTGATGCTCTTTTTTCCACTGATTTTCTGTGTGCTTTTGCTATATCATTCTGCATTTTCTCAAGGGCTTTTGCTCTTTTCTCTTCCAACTTCCTCTGCAAAATGAAAGATTCCAAATCAATAGATTGACAGATGTTGTATTTTAATAAATTACAAAAAAAAGCCAGAAATAAATTGGTTTTTGTACCTCAACTTTCTTCATCCAAGAAGTTGCCTTCTGCACTTCCTCACTTTCCAAACCAGTTATCACAGCATCCTCCCTCTTAAACCTATTATTAATTTTCGCTATCTTTGCATTCTGCCATGCATTAATCTTCGATTCCACCTCTTCTTTCTTCACACTCTGCACCGACACTTCCCTTTGACTACCTGTGAAGACAATATTTAAATGAATATATAAAATCATCACTATCTAACAACTTAAACTTTTAATTGAGACTGAGTTTGATAACATGATACTAGAGCTACGCGAAAATATATTCCGGTCTGGAAAATAAGTTTTAATCGAATACATGTAGCAGCATCTTTTTGACGTCTAAGAGCTAGGCTCTTATACGAGATGGTTAAAATTACCGTGTGGCGATTGCACGGGGACGGAAATATCGAGAGGATTATTATCAGGCACGATTGCCAAAGGGTTGGTTTCCTCCGGCACTTCCTCTCGGATCCTCCCCAAGTTGTTCCCACTATTCGCCACCATGGGAACGTCGTTTTCCGGGCGGCTATTGCTGTTTCCAATTGAGGATCCGGCAAGAACTAGAGCATTGAATTCTCTACTCATGGTGGTGAAATTTTCACTTTCAGTACTGCTGGCCGTGGACAGATTTGATGATCTGTGGCTACCCGTTTCCCAAGCAATTTCTCTCCGAGGGGGTGGTGGCTGTAGGCTAGATGGGGTCAGTGCATGGATTTCTCTAATATGTTCGTCTTGATCATTGTCTTCTTCACTGTTCCAGCTTGTGCTGGCTATGGCTCTTTGATTGTTCATCACAGGAAAATGTTGTTATAGTTCGATCCACGGTCGAGTAATCAAAAAGTTGCAATAGGACAAGGGAGAAGAGAAGGGGTGAAGAACGAAAGGAGCAATTAAGAAGTTGCAATCAGGTTTACAATCATGGTGTGATCAAGAAATACGAGCCATACATTTCTCGCAATACTATAGGAGAGTTCAAACTCTGTAAATTGATTGCTGACAACGTTGATAAATATCATAATTGATGGTCAAAGTCTTGAATTTTCTTTTTAATATATGCAATTATTGGCCCCTATTTTCTTGTTAATTAAGGTTGGATACATTTTAAGAAGAAGTTTTATTTGAGGATCTATTCATTAAAGAGAAAATCCTCCAAATTGGGGATGGCACAAAGCCCAGTTCCGAATGTTATGAAATTTCCTAATTAGTTGAGAAATTGCAAACAAAGAAAAACATGATCCTTATCCAGAACTCATCACATTAACAACGTGAGGCGAACTATGAGGAGGACCACGTTCGTCCTATTACCATCCCCTTTTCAAATCCTATAGTTTCATAATGTGAAAGTCACCCTATATATGTCTAACTTTCATAAAGTAACATGACGCACATATATTCAAAATTAAAATTCCCAATTTGTTGAATTAGTGATGCTATCTTGGCAATAGATAGGTCGAAGAAAAACAAAATTAAAATTCATAAGTTCGACATTTTTGTGGATCAATCTGAAATTTACAAAAGCTAAAAGGCCCATATTCAAATTATCAAATAGTTTAATGGCTTCATAGCAAAAATCATTTTCGTCTTTTGTTCTGGAGGAGCCCATGATATTAGGTAATTGCCAATGGATTTGTCATATTATGAACACGCGGTTAATTCCCATTGGCTGATCTTTTAATCTGGGCCCACTTTAACTTAACCCTATCACATCAAGAACACGTGTAAGGCCAATATGATTACAGAATTGGGTTTTTGCGATGCACACGTCTCACGTGATAATCTATATTATCATGCACTGATATTTGATTCCAGTGATTTAGACATGTTAAGAAAAATCTAAAAAGCTGATTTTTCTTTATTATTTATTATTTTGGTATTTATAATCTGATGTAATTGAAGTGCATGAAGGTTAAATGTCACACGTGGCAATGTATTATGCCATTATCTTGGAAGAAAG